TGCAACTTGGCCCTGCATGCTTCTCAGAACTTCAGGTGTCATGGCAGCATGGGTATAGAGCCTCTTAAAGACTTGCAGGTGGTCACTTTTCACAGTCATTTCCATAGGGTAGTATCCGCCTTTTAAACACAGAAAGAAAGGAATTGTGGATGCCCAGATTAGAGACATACTTCACCATCCCTTTGAGAGTACGCCCTAACTTGGATGACCATTAGTGTTGCACCAACAACCTTGACTATCATCCATCTGGGTTTTTAAGGATTTAATTCCAGAGATATTTCACAGGACCAAGGAGAATGTGTTGCAAGACTTGGAGAGTCCAGTATGAGGACTCCCCACTACTACTGCCTTCCGGATCTGAGAGATTCTGGGGGTTTGGGGTTTTGCCCATGAAACTAATTTAATTTAAACCAATCTCATGGATCACTGCATACTTTAGGCACACACCACAGCCAGATTTTCATCTGATTTCCTCTGCTTCCAAGTTAACCTTTCCCATTTGCAGTTTTGTGCTATATTAAACATTTTTCCCAGCAGGTAAAATACTGCTCTGTGCAAGCCTGCGTAACACCCACATGAAATGGGAAATTACTACTGATGATTTCTAGAAGAGATGATTAAGACAGAGGCCAAATGATTTACCAAACATCTCTTGGCAATTAAGTGAGCCTCTGGGAGGAGATCTCGGGCATGTCTTGTACTTGTTAGTGTTATTATTTATAATTATAATTCTATTATCTCTTAGCTTATGTAAATGAGGTTGGCGCCCAGATACCATGAAAATAAAGAGTTCAGACAGTCACTGCTGTCAGGAACCAATAAACGAAACCAACTAGTTTTAGGTATGGTGAAAGGAAGGATTACTGTCCCCACTGAAGAGAGCCTCCTTCAGCAAGCACAGAGAGTGGGTTGTCCTCGCCCCAATGCAATGACGGTGCCTAAAAACCTCTCCCCAAATTCTTGGCAAAAGTTACACTGGAAATCTGCTCCAGACCACTGTACCTTAACCAGGACATCTTTACCTTGCCCTGGGTCTAGACTTGATGTTGTTTTCTATTTTCCATGTTGTAGTTTCCCTAGTAGGTTCAAGAGCAAGACCAGGGTAATGTCTCTGCTTACAATAATAAATAGCAAAGAAAACAGAACATTTCTATCCTGCCTGATAACTCCACAGGAGTGCAGATTACAGCTCACAGTAGGGCAGGGACACAGTTCCTTAAATGAGTTTTGCAGTCAGGAGGGAATAGCCATGTGTAATCTAATTCAGCTCTCCAATTACTAAATGGTGTAAGCAATATTTTTTACATATAAATCCTTTAAGATTATCAAATTTAAATGCAGGTGTAGGAGGACCCCAGCGTTTGATGCCTCACTTTGATCTGTGGTCTGTTACATCAGGTGAGGAGCTGGGTACCATTTTCCAGTCGTAAATGTATTTATTACGGACTCCCGTACATAGCTAGACCAGGATCCACTGTCTGAAAGTGCCCAACGTGATGTTTCAAAACAAGGGAGTTGTTAAAAGCAGTATATTTTGGAGTAACTTGTGCATGAGACTAATTCCTTCCTAGCATTTCTAAGGAAGGGTTGCCTTGCCCTTTTTCATCTTGTTTTTAACTAGGGCAACATATAATAATATTGACCAGCAATCTCAGGAGGTGGGATAAAAAGACTTCTGCAGCATATAAGTCCCATTTCCCTTCCCTCCACCACCCCTTCAAAATAGGCTGTAGAAACTCACTATTAACATCCAAAAGGCCCTTATATCAGAGAGCTGCTTCTCTGTAGCTGTGAACAGGATGATCACCGTAACTGAGTACCTGAGGGCAGCAAGCTATAGTTGGTTTTTTTCACCTGCTGAGGAAAAAGAGAGCGGGGATAAAAAGGGAGAAGAACAGTATCTGGCCAAGGGTTGGTGTAAAGGTCTCTAAGTTTCATCTCCTTTTGCAGACAAAAGATTTGAAAACCTTTGCACCAAGCATGACAAAATCAATACATTATTTAAAAAAAAAAGTTTGTTTTGTCAAATCAGCAGTCCTCTGTTTCACCCGAGTTATGTACTCTGAAGCCTGGACAAGTGGAAGAAGGAAGTTAATTTCTGCAATGAGTAGAAAGAAACTAAGGGTGAATACTGTCCCTATTTTGAGATGAAAGATTTCTGAAGGGTGCAACATGGATGTGATACCATTCAACTAATAATTGCTTAACAGCAAACAATATGCAAAGATTCCTCCACCCGTTGACGTGACAAATGCAGGAAAGTTTGTTTTGTAACTAGGAAGGACTGCATGCCCGAAGAGTGGCTCAGACCCTGGAGGTGCTCTGAGGAACCATATAAAAGTGCTTGGAGCACAGAGCTCTTCAAACCACTCTTCTTGGCTTCTCCTTGGTGGTGAACTGAGTAAGTCTGACTTCAGTTAAATCTGTTTTATGAGTTTAAATGCCAATTTAATAAGAGTTTTAATGTATTTATGTCTGAGCATTTAATATGTCTTGGTCATTGGAAGAATGTTACTTTCAAAAAAAAAAAGATTCTGTAACTTCTTTCAGCTTGGCAGCTTTGGACGATATGGGTTTGATATGGAGAGCGTGGGACTTCAAGAGCTGCTTGCATGTTTCAGAGAAAGAATGTTTAATGATTTTGTCTATGTGTGGGAGTGCTTTGCAAATGAAGAAAATGGTTCTAGGAACAGTTTTAAATAGATAAATACTGCTAGGTTAATCCTCACCCGTCCTTATCAAAGCATCCAGGATTTGATGACTTCTACCAGGTTATCTAATCTTCATTATTTGAAGATATATGAATTGCCATCACACTTTCTATTTAGCTACAGAAGAGTAACTTTCTGAATATTGTATGGTTTGAATAAATGAGGGCTCCCCTTTGCAAGTGCGCCTGCACCGCCATCCCTGACCCGTGCCCTCTCCACTCTGCGTGTTTCAGGCTTGCTTCCAGCCAGGAAGATGTCTTCCTACAGGCAGGTCTGCAACTACAGCAGCTACTCACCCTGCGAAGTGAGCTGTCCCACGCCGTACGCCAATGCCTGGAGCCAGCCCTGCGTCACCTCCTGCGGGGACTCCCGTGCCGTGGTCTACCCACCACCTGTGGTTGTCACCTTCCCGGGCCCCATCCTCAGCTCCTGCCCTCAGGAGAGCTTCGTGGGCACCTCAGCCCCACTGGAGATAGGCAGCTCCTTTGGCTACGGGAACTGCCTGGATGCCCAGAGCTCCGTTGGGTCCGGCATCTCCCTGGGTGGCAGGTACTCCTACCCCTGCTATTCCCGCAGGTACACGACTTACTCTCGTGGGAGCTACGGGCCCTGCTAAGCCCTGCAGGGGTTCCCTGGGGAGCCGGACCCAACTGGGATGAGAACAAAGTCCCAGTCCATGAGTGAGCGGTGGGCCATGGCTTTCAGAGGGGCAAGCATACCAGGCTGCAGCGGGGGTCCTCAGGGGCTGGGCACACTCAGCCACCCTGAGGAACAAGCCCAGACACTTTATTTCCCTTCCTGTTGGATTAGGTATCTGCTAACAAGATCCCAACTCTGTGTTTAAGGGACTGTTTACTTGCGAAATGTACTTAGTTTAAATTCAAGTGGTTTATAGAAGACTAAAGAGCAGTGTAAATCAGATTCTGTAATAATTCTGTATCTAGCCTTTCTTGATATATGGACTAATTTTTTCAGAGCTTTTGAGATATAGTGGGAAAAACTGCTCAAAGCTCCAGTTTGATTCTGGGAGGTACCCTTTTTCACATAGTCTGGGATTTGAAAAACAAACACACACCCCAAAAAAAGAAAAAAAGCACAACAGATGAAAACCAAGCTCGATTCGCAAATGCAAAAAAAATCACCTTACAAACTGCAGCCCCCAAAGACGACAACCACGTCCATCCCCACCACATCCTGCAAGTGTATTCTATACTGTCTGGATTGTTATGTTCTGTTGCTATGAAGTCCTTGATTTGTTTCAATTAAAGTTCATATTGCATCATAACATTGGTTTCCTTCTGGTTTCCTTTTCTCCTCAGCTCAAAACTATTGGGCAATGAGGCTAAAATGATTCCTCATTTGAGACCCAGGCTCCTCTGGGTGTCAATCACCAGGAAAAGGACAAGGTGTCCTAGCCCACCTATCCACAAGATGTGCCCATCCCTACCATCTTTTTTAAAGATTTGTGGTGAAAGGGGTGGGATTAAACAATCATATTACAGTTGGATCAGAGGTTCATCCTCCCACTAGCTTACAAAGAGAAAGGAGTTGCCCTCAGTAGCTTCACTACATTTTGGAAGCATCTTTGCTACTCAAGGTCTTCTGCTAATTGCAGATGTCAGTACTATGAACAGATATCCATTTCTATCCTGGGAAAGCCCTGGCTTCAGCTTCTGCATGGAGCTGTGCCCAAACAGCGCAGCATGTGGGCATGATTTTCTCTGGCCCTTAAAAGCATTGTTTTTTTTCCTGACGCTGAAGGGCCAAAACTCTTATTTCCAAGGGAACTGAGTACCTGTGACTGGAGGAAAACTGCCTTTTGGCAAGTAGTGGAAATTTACTGTCTCATCTGGAAGAGAAATAAGGGAACTCAGAAGGAAGCGAAGTCAATTCGGCCAAACGGAGGTAAGTGGAAAACTGAGGTGGAACAAACACCAGGTCAGTGCGATGCAATGTGGTTTTTAATGGGCATAAGCAGCAGAGCTAACAGTTGTGCTAACACAGGGAATACAGACAGACACTTCAGGGTCCCTTATATCACAAAGTTGGTGATATTGCCATGCATTTGGTATGAGAATTTCAGCGTTCCTTATTACAGCTATATAATTTGAGCTATATATCCTATTTCTACCCCTTTACAATATATTCATTTTAAAGCAGACATACTAAGGCAAATGAGGTCTTCATTACTCTTGTACTGTAGTGCTGTGGAAGGCCACAAAACAATGTACAAATTCCTACAACACACTAAACTGAACATTGTTTAACCTCAAGGTTATTGAGGGCACCTCAATACTTGTAGTGCACAAAGCCTTTTTTGTAACTGAGTGTCCAGCCCAGCCCCAGGAACAGCACAATAAATGCATAGATGGGAAGATATACACAGAAGATGCCAAAAGCCTAAAGTGTAAAATGGAAAAATATGCTTATAGGTTGAGCTGGTTATTTTTTCCTAATACCAAATTTGCTCCAATATAGAGCTTTAGGGCAATGAAAATTTTCAGCTAAAGTAATCTAAACGGGGATAAAATAAGAGTTTTGAAAAGGAAAAGTAGTTAAAAACATTCATGTCTCCGTAAGATAAATCACTTTTACTCTGTTTTAAAATTTTAAAAGGAATTGTTTTCCAGGTGGATTTTTTTTCTTTCTTCCTTGAAAAATTATTTTTCTTTGCGGGACCTTGACTAAATTTTTTTTTAATCTGCATGTGCATGTAGTTACACAGTTTGCCCAGCTCTACCTATAAGCCTGTCTTTCTGGGCACTGCTGAGAGCTCGCAGCTCCGGCTGCCTTCCGAGCAGTGAGCTCTCAGCTCTGCTCAGGCTCAGTTCCTCATCCATGATTTTCTGCCCCGTTTTCCACACCCTGGTCGCTCTGTGCGGTGGAGTCCCATGAAACATTCAGCATGGCCCACAGCTTCCTCGGCTGCAAGTGCTGTACCGGCAGTACACGGGCTACAATCTGGCTACAAAACGTATGGGCTACAATTTCCCCTTCCCAGTGATGAGTACCCGGAATGGCAAGACCTGCTGTAACTGCATGCACCCCCATAAACCTTGGAGCCTCCAAAAAGAATGGAGCCCTGTAAGCCAACGGCATTTCCATAGCCCTCGTAACCAAGATGGTCCCCAGAACCAAACGGGCCGCCAACGCCGAGCGGTCCACAGCTGCCCACAACGCTTTCCTGTGGGCAAGAGCTGAGAACTGGTCCTGGGAAAGTCAGGACGATGGGTGGTGGGTAGATGACAGCTCTGGAGTCATCACAGGATGTCACGCACAGCTCCTTGCGGGTGTTGGCCAAGGGCTGAGGGCAGGTCACCTCACATGGGCTGCCGTATGGTATGCACAGGTCTCCACAGTGAGACATCGCTTGGGAAAGCGGGTAAGTCTGAAAGATGGGGAGGAGATCAAGAGAATGGTCCCTTGCAGTTGGGGCACAGGTCCTTGCAGTGAAGGCGGTCGCCCACCAGTCCCTTCCTGCACCTGGAGTGAACATACAGCATGAGTGAGAGAGAAGCTTGGAGGGCAGCGGGGTGCTCTGCTAAGGTTTGTTAATAAATTGCTTTCTGTAAATAGCCAGCCTAAAAAAAAAAATAAAAACACAAATTTCATCCTAATTCCAAGCTAGACCCGATTCTTTCTATTTCGAAACATTGATAGAAATTCCGGCTACCTTAGAGCTCGGCAGAAGTACTCACTAAGCACAACTGTGTGAAATTGCTGCGGTCACACCTGGAGCCAGTGCAGAAGCAGGAGCCTGCCCTCAGGAGCTCTCCAACACAATATCGTTTATTTATTAGGCAAGTTCCCCTGTCCCTCAGGACACTGACTGCAGTGCGTCCTCTTGCCTCCAGGCATAGATTAAACACAGAATAAGAAGCTTCTTTCACAGAAGTATTCGCAGTCAAGGAGCCAACTACAGCAAGTATTAGCACAAATACATGGCACATGGCATCAGGCAGGGTCTGGAGCTACAATGGCTTGTTCTAGAAAGAAGGGGAGTGCTGCTGTTTGAGGCCAGACCTGGGCTCAGCCTAGCCTACTATCACTCACAGATAGTCTAGTTTCTTTTCGTTTTCTGTAAGAAATATTCAGTGCTGGTGCACTCAATTTTGGAGTTATTTTTCTAGGACAAAGTTGTGCCCTATCCCAAAAACTGAGTCTTTCCATGTATTTTCACCCATCCAGACCTTAAACATGCACAGGAGATATGAACCTGTGTATGCATGAAAGGAGAAAAAGGATTAACATTTTAAACTTCAGTAGCTGTATGTGAAAGAATAAACATTTGATAGATGAGAATCTGGTTAAATAAACATCCTGAAACACAATCTACAGTATTAAAATACTTCTGCTGTGAGACTGTACAAAAAGGAGAGAATTTAGACCCTATGTACTTAGTGGAAGGTATCTAAAACCCATGTGGGTCTCTAAGTCCTACATTACCTCCCCAAATCTGCTTCTGTCAAAGCCCACAATAGACAGCTTGCAGTAGAGATGTGTTTATAGCAGACAGCTATAGCAATTCTGAGAGTAACAAAGCTTTACACTAAAACTAAAGACGCAACTGTCAAAAGAATAAGGCAAAGCAGACTTACTTGATCCCCTGAAGAAAGAAAGTTAGGAAAAGCAGGTAAACAGCCTTGAGCTGCAAGTGCTTTTATACAATACCTCCAGCTGCCTGGAGGCTAGAAGACCTATTTGTTGGTGATTATCTCATTTACTTGCAAATCAGATGTTGTTGCTTGGATCATTCCTTTAACTGCTGTAATTACCTTTCTTAGGGTTAATTGTTAGTTCTGAGCCCCATACAGTGTGATACCCGTCTAACAACTGATTTAAGCTTCTTCATGATCGCTAGCTGTAGCTGACAACACAAAATGTTTCTTTTCAAAGAAAGTGTGCAAAAATCCTCATTAGATTTTGAAAACTTTGGCTTGAATTCCTTGTTCAAAACGTTGAAGAAATCCAAATCCTCCAGCTGGAAGCAGAGGAAGCAGAGCTTCCACTTTTATGGAGAATTATAACTTCTTTACACAATGAAATAACAAGCAAAGTTGCCACTGGAGAAGGAGGGCTTGTATCATTTGTGCTGTATGTGTTTAAGTAGGAGAGCTTAATTTAGCACACTGCAAGGCTGGTTTGATTAAATTAAAAAATCTTTTTTTTAAACAACATAAGCCCAGATTTTATGTACGGTAATCCTCTTAGGTTTCTTTTCAACTGATAGAGCAAATTAACACCATGTAAAGACCACAAGGTTCATAAATTTAAGACTTTGATTTTAGTATGGCAGAGAAAAAATTTTCTTCTGTGGTAAAGAAAATAACCTTGACCTGCAGAGCTATGAAGGGTCTGCTTAGAAGGACAATAAGATCATGTTTTAAAGCGAAACTACTAATCAGGCTTCCAGCTTCCAGCCCAGCTTCAGGAACACCGCAGTGTCAGAGCAGCAAACGCCCTGGCATAACCTTCCTCATTATCAAGACCTAAAACTGCAGCAACATGTCATTAATTTTATTATAGTAGAACACTCTATCTGCAACACATTAATCACATGGAGGTACTTTGAAGTCCTTTATTCTGTGGAAAAAATTAGAAAAACCCAGATAGATAAGTGTTGTCTAGAGCTTCCTCATAACCATCCCACATAATTTAAGCATAATCTGTGCCATAAAGGAGAGGGCTTAATCTGCCAAGGGTGTAAACAAGGATGAGAGAGGAATGAATCGCAGCAAGTCATGTTCCTGCTGCCCAGCCTACACACGAGGCACTGTGTTTCATCCTGCCAAACCAAATGGCAAAATGCAAACTCATCTGTCTTATCCCACCCATCAGGGTCAGCAGTGCAGCTTGCAGCCACGATGGCAATGGTCAGAAGAAAAAGACAGGAAATTTTGTGTCTGGAGAATGGCAGGACTCTGCCAAGACCTTCCTAACCATGGTTATCACAACCAAAGCCTCTGTCAGCATCTGTCATTTTTGCAAACCAAGACAACTGCGGGTTTGTTCTCACCCTTTATGCTTATCTCATGGGGATACTGCCTTCAGCCAGCCCCAAAATAGATGAGGATGGTGAAACACCACGTGCTGCTTCAGGCGTGTGTTACCGTCACCAATTACAGGCACCTAAGTTGACCAGCTACTGCCCTGGTCTCATTCTTATCGTTATCACCTGAGAAATTAAAAGCTAAGTAACCAAATCACCCACCACAGCAGGCAGGGAGATCTTTGCAAGGGCAGAAGCTTGGAAGGGCCTGTGACATGTTGATCTAAAACCTGCTGAGCTGGTTACAAACTGGCCATTGCAGCCAGTGGGAAGAGTGGGATATTCCTCCAGAACCTCAGAAGAGCAGCCAGAGACCGGGTCCCAAAACCTCCTTTTCTGTGGACTACAGAAGGAGTCTAGCTGGCTGGCTTAGCCCTAAGTTAGGTGCCTACAGTAAATTCCTCCTACGTTTTGTGTCACTTTGCACAGAAAGTCTTCTTTGGGGGAGAGAGTCTCTGTAAGCCTGAAACATGCAGCAAGGAGCTGTGATGATAAATCAGTAAAAATAATGGACAGGAGTGAGTGAATTCCTGACATCTTTTCAACATGGTTGACACCCTTCTGGGGAATTGGCAGAAAATACCAGATTAGCACTTACGGACTCATTATCTTATTACATAGTCTGTAAGTTCCAGTAATTGTTAGATGCTCCGGTTATATTGGACACCCTAAAGGGATAGATACTGCACAAAGGCAGGTCATGAGACATGGCCTTTCCTGAGGGTTTTACCATATAAGCATAAAATAGAAGCATGTAAAATTGCAGGGGACAGATTTATAGAACTAGTAGTGACACTTATATTTAATAATTAATAGGTGCAAGAACAGCAGTGGCTGTTAAGAAACAATGCTCATGTTAATCTTTTTAAAGCTGACTTTAACAGCACTAGCAGTGCCTTTACTAACATTTACCTTCAACAGTCCTGCTTCCTCTGGTCCCTAGCACTTATTAGTCAGCAGCAATTACAAATGAATAATTTAGAGCATGAAAATAAAACTTTAAGGATGAGTTTCCAGTAGCTTTGATGATGATTTGCTGACCGCTGCCAGGGGAAAATGAAGTTGGCTTTATAATGGGGAATGTGTGCATTGTCCTTCCAGATCAGACCAAGCCAGCTCCTGCTCCCTGACCCCTGCATGTCTTGGAAAGGACAGGATGGGCACACTGATGCACAGTCCCCGGCTCAGGACTCCAGGAGTGTCCTGGCACACACCCATAGCTCAGGTTAGATGCTGCAATTGTGTAAGGCCTCAAAAGCTTCTAAAGAAAACCTAAGAGCCAGTCCTTTCCAACCTAGTGACTCTGTGATTCTGTGATTCTGTGATTGTATAATAACACATTTTTTTTGTCCTCCAAACACCCATCAGTTAGAACCAAATGGAGTCACCACTGGGATGGATCCCAAGCTGTCATTATGAGGAGCTCTCAGCTCTGACTGGCTCACAGCTCTTTCCCAGTCCTCATCCCATTCCCAGGAAGCTAATCAGGCTTCCAGCCCAGCTTCAGGAACACCACAGTGTCAGAGCAGCAAACGCCTTGGCACAACCTTCCTCAAGTGCTAGACAAAAGCAAAGTACAACGTTGGAGCATCCTCCAGGCAGCAGATACGTGCGATGCAGCTGCTTCCACAACAGTGCTGGCTCCTGGCCATAGCCACACTCTCAGATGGGTGCCTAGGTGAGGGCTTGGCCCATGGTGTTGAAAAAAAAAAAACCCAAAACAAAGTCAAAAAGGTTTGGTTTAACTAACATAACGTGACCATCAATTCTAAGGCTTTCAGTCATAACCTCCTTGGGGATGCGTCACCAGTGTTACGTTTTAGAAAGGAATGATTAGTCAACACTGGGGCATCTTACGCTAGCAATTACCAGGAGGGTAATAACCCTGCACATTGCTGCAGTCAGAGAACCACCATTGTTAACATCTCCTGAAATGCCTGTTCTGAGCAAGCCCAAGACTTTCCCAGGCAGTTGCTCCAGGGATCTCCATAGTGACTCACCACAATCTAGAGATCATTTTGACACACAGGCAGCAAACTGGTCAACAAAGAGAAAAACATGAGCAGATTAAGCACAGAAACACAAATATTCTTCATGATGAGGAGCGATGAGTAATTCCAGGGCACAGAGCTCTATCCTGACCTTTTCCGATGAAGTGCAGCCAGCATCACCATGAACTTTGCCACCATCCTGGCTTCTCCATGTTAATTACACTATGCGTTTCTCTCCATCCACAAATAGGCTTTGGTCTGCATATACATGATGTGTTGTAGTTAGACATGATTTTGGATGGTGTTCAGTTCCAGATATGCATGTTT